CACATTACGTTAAAATAATTTTAAGATGCCTAAAAAATGCAATCATCTGCAAACCAAGAAATAAAAGGTGTTTATCGTACTTTTATTTATGATATACTTGTGCAATGAGGATATCCCGGTTAGTCCTCCATTGAGACAGATAACAGCCTAACAGATGAAAAAAGGCATCTTACTAAGCGAGAATTTGTAGTTAAGGCAGCCAAAGGGCAAACACGCATGATTATAAGCCCTCGCCTTAAGACAACTCAAAAAGTATAATAGTCCTATAATATGATTCAAATTATTTTATCTTTATTTTTATGTATATTTTTATGCATATTATCGAGTTGTGTTTATGTTTTTTGATTCGCCGCTCTCTTTAATCCATGCATCGCACATGACTTCTGAGTACGTAGCCAGTCTTGATGATGATGGTGTTCGCTACGAACTCGAGCGCCTTGGCTATTCGGCTCCTCCTATTGCTGATGCCGTTATGAGTAAGATTCTTCGAAGAAAGTTGTTAAGACTTATTGATCCATCTGCCGTTATCGATGACGTCAGGTATGTCTCTAATTTTAGCGAATATTTAGGCCTGAAACGGAAACCGAATCGAGTTCCGATGAACAAACAACTTTTCAGAGGCCTCAAGCATGCCAGCTGCCTAATCCATATTTATCGAAACCATATACAGGCACTACCAAAATCCGCTCGAAACTTCCTTTCGCTGCTAAGATTATCATATTCTTGCTCGTTATAGTTACATTTGTATCATTTTTCTCAAAGATGGGACTATTTTAATTACATTTTTACATTATACGGATCATGGTTTAGTTTTTATTCCCTTTTTAAATATCAAGCATCCATGGTCATTAAGTGTATTCCGAGTCTAGGCATATTAATTATTTTTAGTGTCAGTTTGCTCTGGTATTACATATATTTAGTTATGCCCGATTAATATATGATGTTTATATATATACTTAGCTGGAACTTTCGGTTATTCTGCCGCATTAATAGTTACTTAAATGAAAATTTGTTCCCCAATAAAGCCGATATCTCCATTGTTTTAGAAAGCAACATCACTTTTAAAGGAGCGCTTTTATCAGAGTGTCTTGT